AAGGATAGATTCAGGGGGATTCAGGGGAGAAGACACATGCTGTAGGAGACTCCTCCATGAATGCAAAAATTGTCATGGGCTCAGAGGAATCTGGGGCAGGGATACGCCTAGAAAACTTTATTGCATCTTGTAACACCTAACACCAAATCATTAGTTTTTGAAATAGTTTAAAAGCCTGTGTTGATTTTTTTTTACAGCACGAGAGTCTCCAGAGAGGAACGTGATATAGCCAAGGTGTCCTGAGAGCTGAGGTGGGGACATCCATCAAGTTGGCACTGGCCCTGGATGCCTCAGGCAGCACGGCTAAAAAGTTTCATTTTCATAAAGAGGTGAGAAAACTGCCAGAAATACTAGAGAAAGGGGGGTGCTGTAGCTTACCAAGGAGGAAGAAAGGCTGAGAGCAGCCCAGCCTAGTCCGACAGGTCCCCAAAACCAACTGGTATTGGGGAAGCTCCACGAGGAATGTGTGACCACACTGGGCCTGCTTGGAAACAGCCACTTTAGTTATTAAAAAAATTCCCCTTCATTTTTGCCATGTTATTAATGCTACTGAAAGCACAATGTTTTAGAAATATATTCCAAACAAAGGAACATACTTATCTTTAAGAGAGGGTTATACAACTAATACTAATTAGCCAAGAATGTAAGGTAAAAATATTTACCTTTCACAGCAGAGCAATTCTTAAAGTGATCACAACTGTTCTCTGAGATACATACTATATAGAGCTGTAAAAAGGACTGACTTTTGATGAAAATTTTATTCATCTTTCGAACTGAAACTCAAAATCAAAGGTTTCAGTGAAAATTTGTGGTAAATACAGATCTGAAACTTTTAATTCTTTTCCAATTAAAGTGGAAATTCAATTCAGTGGGAATAAAACCGAATGACCTGGCAATGTCTTTGGACTTCCCTACTGCACATTAAGAGCTTGGACTTTTTTTTTTTTTTTTTAAAGAACTGTCTCACACCACTGGAGAAACACAATTTGCAGCTCACTTCATAGATGTGCTAGAGCCTTTGCAGCCTTTACAGTCTGTCATGTGAATCCATATTCAAGTGTCAACGTGTGAAAGGGCTGCTTCAGAGGTAGCATGGGTGAAAACATGAATGAAATTTCTACAGGAGCTGCTCTCAGAGATGAATAATTTTTCTATTTAGTTGTTCACTTTAGAAAAAAAAAGCTGTTGATGGTAAGAGTGCACAGGACTGAAATCAACAGATTTCTTTTTCTTTTGCACACCTGCAGTTCATAACTACCAGAGCTGGTGGTTTTAGTGGGCGAATGCACTTGAAATAAACTGTTGAAACTGAGCCTTAGATCCCAATAAGGCAGTGTCATCCTCTTCTGTACCTCCAAAGCTTGTTAACTTTAATGGCAATCTAGAGTATACAAACACAAGTAGCTGTAGCAAGAAGGATTAACAATCTCACTTGTGAGATCCTTTGCCTGACTACTGTTGTCAATCACAGGGTTTTATGTGTTTCTCATTTTCCTTGCCTTTCACGCTCTGAAAGGCCAACTTACTTGTTTATACGATGTGTCATTCAAAAAGCCAATTTGGAAGGTGCGTAAGAGTAATGAGTAAGGTGAACATGACTGGTTTAGAAAGTGTCTCTTAGAGCGGCTGCTTAACTCTCTTCGCCTTTGTCACAGCAGTTGTGCGCTGCTTGAGTTTTCTCTTCTTTAGATGAGAGACCTGATGTAGCCCATAAAAATTTACTGGAAAGAGGGCGTCTACCACGTTTAATGCCTAATCTGGCACCCTTTGCTTATGCAAATTCAATCAATGGACAAATTCTCTTCTCACAGCGGTTGCACTAATACAAACAACATCAAAGCCGTCCTCAAAGTTGCTCTGAAACAACTCCAGGATCACTGAAATGCAACGTTTGCCCTCTGACTCCACATCCCCACCTGCTCGCTCACGTGAGTACGACGCACAGAACCAGGCCCTGTGTTTGCCTGAGTTAGAGGCACCCACAGCGAGCAGGCGAGCACAGCCAGCCGAGTGGGCTGAGCACCGTCGATCCTAACAAATTACAATAAGAAATGTATCACGCTGCCTGCTGTCAGGTGTAATTTATATCATACCAGAGGGGTGACTGGAAAGCAGGTAGAGGCAGGAACTGGCCATACCTCTACTTGCTCCTGCTGGGCCTGATCTTGCAAGCCGCTGGGAACGCTTCCCTCCCACTGAAGCCAACATGAACCGAGCTCCTTCAGGACCTAGCAGGATAAGGCCTCCTTTAAGCACTTCTGAAGGATAGACGTGATTTAATGGTTTCTCTAATTCCTGTTAGCATGCCATTTTTGCACGTGCATACCCTGATTGTATTGATACATAACTGCACAACCTGAACCTGTCCTTAAACACACTTGTACAGTACAAATTGCAAACTAAAAGTTTATTTAGGATTTTGAAGCACAAGGAGAGAAACAGAGATGGTAGCACAAATAAACAGGAAGATTATTCTCACAGCTTTCATTTTTAGTGAGTGCAAACTGTAGCTTCTGTGGCTGGATCTCTGATGTAGCAAAGCATTTTAACACATGCTGACACGTTTCGCTGAAACAGAATCTATGCATTTAATTGCTTAGATTTGAAGCTTTTAAGCTCACATTCAAACTAAGATTTTAATGCCTTACCCAAATGATCCAGAAAGTGCTGTATGCAGATGAGTATGGCCATGCCCTGTCTGTGGCCCTGTGTGTCATCCCTGATCATGAGCTACTAGTGCTCTGGCAATACTACCACATGTCTTACTCACAAAGCCTCTCTCTTCCTCTAGCACCTGTGAGAGCTCCAGGATTGCTCCCACTCCCAGGCCGTGGTGGAAACACTCTGTCTTTACGGGAGATGCATCACAGAGCAGAGAACGCCAGCACGAGCTCAACTCGTCCCACCGAAATAACTGTGAGTTAAACTTTCGACTTAATGGGGAATGAGTGCTGGCCAGACTCAATGGTGGGTGGCCAATGAAGTCTGCTATACAACATAGTGCAAAGCCAAATACAGTTTTGACTCTAAATGTAGGTTCCACACTCTATACAACTTTGTAACATACGTAGCAATATGTCTTACTGAAGGTAGTGGTGGGAGGTGACATTGTGGGCAACTGAGGAAGCAAACAAGCCTTACAAGATAGCACAGCAAAACAAACCTAAGACAGTACATGGCAAAACATCATGCAGTCCATGAGCTCCAGTCAGTCACAGTTTTATACTTTCAATTTAAATAAAAGTACAAAACCAGTAGAAATACATTTCAAATTTTTTTGACAAACAGAAAAAAAAATGATAGTTTTAAATCAATACCCTATTTTACCTAAATAAAAGCTGTGAATTTATGTGTATTTTCCCAAGGCTTATATAATGGAAGTTTTTATTAAATAACTCAGATATGGGGCATATTTTAAAAACAGTGTCAGCCGTGATTTTCAGAATGTGGAAACAGATGTGCTGCTCCATTACAACTGCTGCATCTTCTCTGTATTTTTTGTACTATGAAACATCCGTCTGTTTTTCTGTGTTACAAATCTCTTCCCACTGAATAGATTTCTTCTCTGTGATTAAATAAATAGTCCACAGACATCATTAAACAAGAACTGTCCAGCAAAAGAAAAAACATGTTTTTCAGGCCCAACTTTAAAACATAAACATTTTAATAATTGTTTCTTTTCCACAGACCATGTCAACAGCCACCTCTCCTTGGCATGAAATCACAGCCATATGCTTCATGACATCAGAGGCATTTCAAGGTATCTCCACAAATGCCATTTATTGCTTGGGAAGCTACCAAATCTGTGCAAAAATCCCTACTTCTTTTACAGGAAAAATCCTCTAATTAAAACATTTTTTTCCACAGATTGTCTATACCAAAAAAATCTGTCTCCTTATAGCAACGCTGGCCAGGCAGGTGGCAGAACCTCCAACAACTAACCCTGCTGGCCAGACTCCTGCCTTGCTCCTGAGCCCAGGCGCCTCCTTTGGCCAGTCTGACAGACACTTTGATGCTGCTCATCTCACACCTTCTGCTGGCTACACGAGGCATGTAACCGCTCCGACAAACAAACAGCCTACACACCAAAAAGCCAAACTATTTTTATGTTTGACTCTAAATCCAAACCGGTCGGGTATAGCTAACAGAATACACCAAAGAATGTGCTTTAACCCTTAAATCAGTGATACTTTTCCCTCTCCCATGATAGGCACAATTCTGCCGAGGACGCCCACCTCACATAGTGCCCAGCACCCTGCGGATCCGGGACGCGGGCGAATAATGAAGAGCCTGTTACTTATATGGGTATTCTCATGCCACTGGTATTCATAATTACACATATCTGGAGTCTCCTCTGTGATAATACTGATCAGAACGGAATAAGCCTTGCCAAACATGTCATTAGCATGTTCAGCATAAATCAGTTACCTTTAATCATGCAAAGATTAAATCTAATATGCAGCTGCAAACAAATACATGAAGTATGCTGGCCATTGTACCCAAAGTAAATGACTACAGTGTCACTGCGGCTGGTATCAGCTGAGAATAGAGCCACAACTGATTTTAGGGTTTCTGTCAGCCGGCAGAAACCTCTCCTAGCCCCAGTGTCATGGAGTTGTTCTGTTTTTTTAAAAGCCAAAAAAAAAAAAAAAAAAGGAGAGATTTCTTTATTTTTAATCTGAAATAAAGAAATTGCTTGGTGTAGCTGTAAATAAGCTAGGACAGGCACACCAACAGGTGCTTCAGACATAACGATATAGGGCAGATGTTGAGAAAGAAGGCAAATAGATTCTCTAAATAATAGATAAATTTTGCAGGCTTTTTTCTTTTTCCTATAGAATCCTAGCGAAGTTAATGTATAAATCGGAAACTGAATTATTCATAAGTGGTGAATATATAATAAATCGTATTTTACATTGAAGTATTCCTCACAGGTCCACGCGTATTTCCGTGCAGTGAAGAGAAAAGAGGCGGGGGGCCTGCAGATGCCGAGCTCTTACCTGGAATCCGGATACTTGGTGAGGGTGGCCAGGCTGCTGGTGTACATGTGTCCTCCTACGTCGATGTGCACGGGGGCATTGGACTTGGTGAGCTGCGCCGGGAGCGGAATTCCTTGAGCAGCCAGAGGAGAAACCGGGGATCGTGTTAGAGACAGACGGGACATGCTTCTTCCCTCCTGGAAATGGAAGGCAAAAAAGCACAGTTTCTCTTAAATGTAGCAGTGTGCGTTACCTTTATTTCTAGTGTGATCACAGATCTAATCAGATCATTTTTGCATCTGCCTGATCACATATTCAGCTAACAAATTATTGCCACCACTGTAATTAAGTGTATTTGCATCATTTTCTTCAAAGTACCAGAGGGGAAGAGAAAGATGCTTATTAGCAATAAGAAATCAAGAAAAAAAAATTTCAAGGTGTCAGCCTCAAGGGGCATAAAACAAACTGCAAAATTCTAATTAAAGGTCGCGGGCTTATGTGTTAGATGTGAAATATCCCCTGACAAACGAATAACCAATTTGTGAATTGGGATTCAGGGGTTTTTGCAAGTTTGTCTCAGTAACGAGACACCTCTAAATTAGTGACTTCCTCAGTACCTAAGGCATTTAGTTTATACATGTAGTAAATTTCACATCAAACTAAGATCAATTTTATGTTTTTTAGTAATTGTGAAATAAATGGATAATTTTTGCTTAACTCTTAATATTAGATATAAAGAACTAAATAAGCTTTTAAACTGAAGGCAATTGATACCTGCAAGCAGTGAAAACAGAAAGACACATAAACTGACCCATGTTTTCATGCCAAGAAGCGTTAGAAACTACTACCCAATCTGGCATGTGAAATTACAAATAAGCATTTCCAACAATCTACTTAATATTTACTGTACTAAAAATATTTGAAAATTGGTTAAATTACTGAATTGAGTACAAATATCTTCAGCTGACATTAAAAAAGCAAAAAAAAAACCCTTAAAAATAAAAAGGAATACTAAAATAAAATCAATTCTCTTCAGCAGTAAAAGCACAGCTTATTCTGCATTAAGTATTCTGTCTTGTGAAGCTAATTTAAGTTAAACCAGTACAGACAGCATATATGTCAAATGGAAAAACACTCAGTCTTTTATAAAAGTTGAAGAAAATGTCCATCCTTTCTCCCCCTTATGGCTAAAGCAACATATGCAAAACATTATAGTCGAAGACATTTTTGAATATAATCTAATTTTCTTGGTATTCTGTATTGCAAGCGTGCTACCAAACATCCAGACTCTTCCTTACATCTGACAAGCACTTTACATACAGTATTACCAAGTGAATTTCATTTCTCCCACATTACTTGGAGCATGTTTCTTCGAATTCTAAAGCTGCTCTCTGCTTTCTTTTAGCAAGCAGTATTCTTAACAACAGCCCTGGCTGCACCACTCATTGAACATGCAATTAGCAACATTCTCTGTAAAAAAAAAAAAAAGAAATCTAGCTGAGCTATAAAGAAAGGGATTGAAAAATCTTTACACATCTGGACAGCCTCACAAGCCTTCTCAACATCCTGCTCTCCTGTGTTCTGTCTAGCTCAGCCCGTGCGAATTCCTGCGTCCCCAGCCCGGATACATCACCCCATTATGGATCCACATGGCTCGCTCCTCGCCGGCGCCTGGCACCGCAGCCAGCGCGCAGCCAACGCCAGCTCGCTCCTAGGACGTCTGGGGCAGGCGCTGGGAAACTGGCACTAGCCTTTTCGCTGCAGCACCACCTTCAAGGAAAGTGAGTGAGTCCTTTCATGCCCAAGATGCTGCTTTCTTGTTTCCCACAAGAGCCTGTTGTGGGCAAGCTTTAGTAAATATGCCATATGCCATAAATAAAGGAGCTAACTTTCAGTTGTTTCAGAAACAACTTAGCATGTAAGTACCTACAGGATCTGAGCAATGTGTTTACTAAGCTCAGGGTGCCTCATCTGTCTAGCAACAGAGACAAAGATGCTTTTATCTTACCAGAGAGCAGTGTAAACTCATGCTCCCTCTCTATGCCTCCACTTAAAGGAAGGGGTCAGAAGACACAGGCTGAATGTCAACCCCGTCTTTGTTCAGACCCCAACTATTATTGCTAAGGATAAAGGTGCAGACCTTGCGTGGCACAGGGCTGCCTTAGCTCCGCATCTCGTGCAGTTTCACCAAACAAGTGCCTAATTAGGACTCATCTGCACCCCTTGTTACCATTCCTAAATGAAATCAAAAGACGCGGAGCCCTCTGTAAATGAGTCTTACATTTGGCCACTTGTCTGGAAATGCAGACTTCAATTTTAAAATATGCACAGATAGCTAAAGATCAAGTGATCTTCAATCTATCTGTGCATATTTAAGCACAGCTGCTATCTTAGGATTTTGTTTAATGTTAGTAACCAGTAAATTTCTTGATCTGTAAAGTGTCTGAGATGCTCAGTGAGGCCCTATTCACACACTAGATATTTAATTTATACTATTCACTGGAGGGACCTTTTGAACAATCCTCTGCTTTTGGTTTCTCTCAGCTAGAGCATGTGTTGAAAAAAAACACTTAATTATAGAAAATCACTGGAAAGCTAAAACAGTCCTCAAACTTTTATGGCTTTTCATACTTACTGAGGATGCTACTGTTTTTTGGGGAGGTGGGGAGAAGGGGAATTAAAACATACGCCTTTTCCTTGTGTGGGGAGGATTTGTACGAAAAAAAAAAAAAAGAGGAACCCAATGTGCTTATTAACACATTGAAGTTCAATCATTTTTTGTATGACTTAACTATCGAGGGGGGGTAATTGTTACACACTACATACAGGGCATTGAAAACAATTCTATTTCTCCTCCCACTCACCTCCCAAATCCATATTTCTTAAGGTACCTTAACCCTATTTCTAATGGTTCTCTCCTCTTTTTAATGTAAAATGCTGATAAAATTCATCACATCGAGTAATGTACTTATTTTATGCACAAAGCAAAATCCTCAATATATTTATCCAGTGAAAGTCTTTATGCACGTATTTTCTAATACTGATGTGAAAATTAAAACCTTAAGGGTAAATATTGCAGAAGCTCTACCAAACTTCATTTATTAAACCATGTAAAATAACACTGGCTCTTCAGTTGCCTACAACAGGATATAGCATCCCAACTAGTGGCACGAGCAATAACCCTGCTCTAATAAGTAACACAGGAACCTGCTAAAGGCAAAATCAATAGAGCCTGATTCCCAAATTATCTGAATATTTAGTTTTTCAAACATCAGACGCCAAGATCTTCCAGAGCCAGCTTATCTTTTTCTGCCTTTCTAAGCTAACTGCATAAGTACTGCTTGTAAAAACTATTTGCCCATGCAAAGTGAAATAATCACAATGCCATGCTCATTTACACACAAAATGATTTTGTGTCCCATTGTGCTCACAGTTGTTCAGCTCTCTAGGGGTGATTAAACTAGCTATGCTGCTACAGCTTGAGATGATTTCACTGAATCGTTTCTCCATGAAGTTGCTTCTTTGCTAAGCTGTTATTTTAACCATAAAAGGTAAACAGAAGGCAGTTGTAAGAGCTCCATTCAGCTCCGTGCCCAGGGCTATAACCCTGGGGCAGAGAATGCTGAAAGACTGCAGAATTTTCCAGGGTGTTGCCTTTCTTGCTCTAAAGCCTTCAGGAATACTGTTCATTTAATACACACTCTAGATGATACATTTCAGATCCTACTAAAAGAAAGACTTCAAAAGTGTAAGAACTTTTGGGCGGATGAAGCTTTCCCACCTCTGCACATAGCTCGGGGCCATGGTAACCAATACTGCTGTTGATGTTGGGAAAATACAGTAGAAATAAACTGCACAGAGCCGAGCAGACAGATAGGGACAAGGGAGGTGAAAGGTTGCAGGGAAGAAACAAGCAGCAGTCTGGAAGGGTAATGAGAGAAAAGGGGAGAGAATGAAAAAGGAGGCAGCTCTGAAGGAGGGACAAAGTTAAATCAAGGAACAGGCACTTAAAAGACTACAGATGGGAGGCAAGACTAATTAAGGATGTAAAAGCGCTTTGTTTCTAAAGTTTATTGTTGCCAGGATAAAAATTAATTGAAACTAATGCTGTTATTCACTCGTGCAGTTTAATTCCTTCATGCACATTTAAGACATGAAATGAAAACTGCAGGTTTAAGGACCTGCCAGGAAGCAGCCCTCCCTCCCGCGGGGAGGCGGAAGGGGCATCCCGGGCCCGCGTGCAGCCAGCTCAGTGGCTACCACAGGCACCAAGTCCAGCGTGCGGCAGGACCGCTGGCTCCTCTGTAACGAGATCAGCACCAACATCTGTTCCCTGACTGCTTCCTTTATTGGATTCTCGTTGAAGCTCTTTTTTTTTTTTTTTTTTTTTTTCTCCCCATCGCCCTTTATTTCTTTAACAGCAGCTCTATCACAGCATTGGGAGTAAAGTCACCCACTGCAGCCCCTTGACCTGCCCATCCCCGGCGCTTCTGGGCAGCAGCCAGGCCCCGGAGCGCGGCGGGCGCTGTCGCCTCCGCGGGGCATTGCACCCAGCGCCGCAGGGGCACAGCTCCCCGCTCCCAATTACCTTTGTCTCCATACACCCGCACTGTGCGCACCGCGGCTGCCTCCTAAGCCACTTGCAGACAATAGTTTATGCCGTGATCCCAGCCTAGAGACAAAGAAGGGACCGGGTTATTCGAAACCTCTGGCCAGATGGCTCCAAAATTCAAAGTCCATAAACATTTGCACACACGCACACACCTCCACGCTGGCTCGCGAAACACGGCACCCAGTGACAGGGAAGACGGTGCCCAAAACTTTTCTAGAGGGGGGGGAAGAGCTCGCTGGGGAGCCGACACTACCAAAAATTGTAAAAGGAAAAAAAAAAAAAAAGCAAAAGAAAAAGGCTTTCTCTTCCCCCAGCCCGCCTGTTTCTGGCAGTCTCCAGTCTATTTAGTGCAAGTTTCACGTCACCCAAACGCCTTCCCCTGCTGATGGTCAGAGAAATCACCAGCAAGCAACGCACCCCGGTCACCGAACTTCTGCCTTTCTCTTTTGAACACACTGTATGCCCAAAGGTAAAAATTCAACCAAAAAAAAAAAAAAGGGCACAACATGGCGTCCTTTACTTATTCTCACATAACAAGAAAGGAGATGTCTCAGATGAATGCAAAAAAAGAAAAGAAAAACAACCCAAAACCGCCCTGCTCCCGCTGGCGCCGCGCAGCCCGCGGCGCACACACGGCGCTG